TTTCCATTTAACTAAGGCTGTAGAGGAGATATCTGCCTGTCAGGGACAAAAGACGGGAAGCAAGACTCCTAAAATCTGGCTCATCTTAAATGGCACTTCTTGCTTTTTGAGGGGACTGATTTTTTTTGATAAAATTTAACTCTATGCTGAAATGCTGTCTAGGGGAACATGGTTCTTCCTTTCCATGTTACTCTGACAGGGTCTACAGCAGGTGAGTAGAAAGAGCAGGAAAAATGTTTGGGGGAGGTTGGTTAGTCCCAAAGGCTGCATGAATAAAGCTCTAATAAATCATAACAGCATATCCACATTAAAAAGCAGACACATGCATATACGTGCACAAGTAATTAAATTTTTATTTAACAGTACGATGGTATGAACACATAGTGTAAGATACAATCAGTTGTTTCTCTTTACAGCAGTACCTCAACCAAACTATTCCTCTGTATTTAATTACATAATGGGTGTTCAGCTGTTCCAATGGATCGCCTGTGCATGTATGCCGGGCATATGGGCATCTAACATATACTTGTCCTTGCCCTTCCCATTTTTTTTTACTCAAACTTTGATTACTTCCCTCAGTGATAGTATGAATGTTGCAGGGTAAAGATGAATGATCATTTCAAAGTGGCAGATTTCATGAGGGAGTTGCATATAGGGTGTGGATTTGGCTCTAACACTTATTTGACATATTTTGCCTTAGTTAATTATCTGACGTTTTTGAGAATCTTCATGCCAGTTTACTAACTATTCATGATCTAATTTTAAGGTTTGCATTACCTATAATGATATAAATAAATAAACAAACCTGTTTTTGTATTTTACTAGCTCAATATTTTATTCATCTTATATTTCAGCATCTGACCTACTTAGCTGCCTAGCAATTTAAGCATTTTAGTACCTGCATTTATATTCTACTTTAGTTCAACCCTACTTTAGAACCTTACTTTAGAATCTAACTTTCTTTAGAAATGTTCCTTTTATCATCTTACGACCTCTGCAACTTTTTAGGAAATGACGTTCCATGTAATAGCAATTCTTTGAAACAGTTTACTTCATTTCTTCCTACCTTTTTCTTTAAGTTCTCTTACTTTTACAGTCCCTTCTAAGAATGGGAGTGCCCAGTTCCCTCTTTCCTTGCATCGGAGCAGAATCACAGAACGTTCTTTCCTTGGCCAGACAACAGCTGAGGTCGCTGGGGAGGACCGATTAAGCCCCTGCCTGCTCCCTGCTTCAGTGAGTCCCCCACCCCCACACTATACTAGCATTGCTGCTGCACCCAGTTTTTGAAGTTTGATCTTGTACTAATCTTATCGGTTCTTTTCCTGGATATAGTGTATCCTACCTATAGGAGGATGTTTTATAATTCTTTTCTCTTGACTCAGAAGCCAAGTTGAAACATGAGCAACAGAAACTTTATTTAGCTACAAGAAGGCATAAATACGTAGGATAGGATATGACCAGTGGGTTCTCCCGAAAGCAGTACATCAACTAAATTGTTTCTCTGTGTTTAAACTGCCTGCCTCCTGCCAACCTGGGTACTTCTCCCCATTTACCAAAACTGTGGTGCTGTCCAGTTTTGGGGGAAGGTGATGATTGTTCAAGGATAGTGAACAGGGGACCCTCATTCCTTGCAAGGCCAAATCAGAGTTCCTGAGAGGGCTGGAGGATTGATCCCTAAGCCTTCCAAGAAAAGCAAACAATGCCAAAGTGGCAGGGCAGGAGAGATCCTTGCCAGCTGCAAAGTAGAACCCCTCTCTCGAAAGTGTCCCATCTTGCTAGAACACTCTATGAACCAGAATGTAAAAGAAATCTGAGTTTCTGTTGGGGCTCAATGGTTCAATCAGCCTAAATGGACTTATGGTACAAGCTGAAAGCACAGAATGGAATTCAGTAGAGACCATCAAGGCAAGTAGTATATATTTGGGAAAGGTAAGTTGGAGAGGAGAGGAGAGGAGAGGAGAGGAGAGGAGAGGAGAGGA